TAAATACGTTTTTTGTCTTCAAATGAAATAAGGTTAACATAGGAATTAAAAAATTTTCAAGGTCATTCTAATAATATTCAAAGAAAGAGGTCATTCTAGTCCACATCTCTGGTCATTCTAGTAAACCACCCTTTATGTTTTCACAATTTTGAGTGACTTTATCGATTCTTCTCTTTTCTTTTGCTCTTTTCAGAGAGTTAAGAAATGCTTGTTGAATGCTTCGAATCATTCTGTGGAAGTCCGTAGAAATCTGATTGATTGTGCTCGTGGAAGCTACGAATCGGATTCACTACGAGCTCTGTGGAGAAATAGTTCGAATGTCAATGATTGTTTTCAAGAAAATGGTTTGGCTTATGGGATCTATTTGAAGGCAGTCAATCTTACCACTCAATCTGAATTCTTCACAAGATTCAGTTATTCTCTGTTTTGGGGATTCCAGGTAAAATTGTTTCTTATGGGATCTATAGCTTCTTTAAATCACTCTTAAGTAACTAATGTCAAATTGTTTTCATTTTTGAAAGCAAATCAGCACACTTGCCGGTAACCTGTCCCCAAGTTACTCAGTGGGGGAAGTGTTCTTTACAATGGGTATCATTGGACTAGGGCTTTTGCTTTTTGCGCGGCTTATCGGTAATATGCACAACTTCCTTCAAGCTCTCGATCGAAGGTAAAACACATTTCATCAACAATATTTTAAAAGAGATGGCGCATTTCTTTACAAATTCACCAAGTTGAGATGATGATTTGTGCTTGTCTTGTTTAAGGAGGATGGAAATGATGCTGAGACGGCGTGATGTGGAGCAATGGATGAGCCATAGACTGTTGCCGGAAGATATAAGAAAGTATGTGCACTCTGCCTCTTAAAATTTTGCTTCTCATTAATTTGGATTTTCATTTAAATTCTCAGGCTATGTAATGGGACTATAGAACTAACTCAATAATTGTTCAACATTTTTCAGGAGGGTGCGAGAGGCAGAGCGGTTCAATTGGGCTGCGACTAGAGGAGTTAACGAGGAATTGCTTTTTGAGAATATGCCTGAAGATCTTCAGAGAGATATAAAACGCCACCTCTTCAAATTTCTTAAGAAGGTAATAAGCATCAACACAATGATTGAAAACATTGCATTAAATCAGAAACCATTTCTTTCTATTTACTTTCCAAAGAGGTAGGTAGTTCTGAATCAAACTTTTATATAGATAGTGGCTGTAGATTGTTGGAAACTCATCCTAAGATTTTGGAGTGTTTTTATGTATGTAGGTGAGAATATTTTCATTGATGGATGAATCAATCTTAGATTCAATCCGTGAGAGGCTCAAACAGAGGACTTACATAAGAAGTAGCACGGTGTTGCACCGCGGAGGCCTAGTCGAAAGAATGGTATTCATAGTGAGAGGTGAGATGGAGAGCATTGGAGAAGACGGTTCTGTTCTTCCTTTATCAGAAGGCGACGTTTGTGGTGAAGAACTTCTAACCTGGTGCCTTGAACGCTCTTCTATAAACCCCGGTACACTCATTTTACTAGTAGCTTTTACTCTATATATGTGTTTGTAACTCGCAACGTTTTAGGTTAAAAACTTGAAAGATAACCTTTTGGAACCGAATATGATTTGGAACCGGCAGATGGGACGAGGATAAAGATGCCGCCAAAGGGACTAGTTAGCAACAGAAATGTTAGGTGTGTGACAAACGTGGAGGCGTTTTCGCTGAGTGTAGCAGATCTTGAAGACGTAACGAGTTTGTTTTCAAGATTCTTAAGGAGCCATCGGGTGCAAGGAGCTATACGTTACGAGTCCCCTTATTGGAGGCTACAAGCAGCTATGCAGATTCAAGTGGCTTGGAGATACAGAAAGAAACGGCTACAAAGATTATACACTCCTCAGTCTAGTTACAGCATTTAGATAAGATCGCATATATACTTCATTCTTGATGATATTTGGCTTAGGAGATTAGGAATTTACGTATAAAGCATTCAGTTTATTGAGATTAAGTTGGTTTACTGACGTAGAAAATTTAAACAGTAAAGAAAGAGAGCATGTAGTTGGTGAGAGATGACTATGAATAAAAATATTGATGTAGATAGCTTGTGTCAATTATTGATGTAGTAATTTAAGATGAATAAACGTGCGTTTTTAAAGAGGAAATGTAACACTATCTATATAATTGTTGGTCTTTTTTACATAAATAAAAGATTGCAGGGCCTGGTTCAAGGAGGGTAAGTAAAAATTGAAATGAGCTATGTGAAACCTTTTTTTTTTCCAAAGCAGCTCATTAAATATGACTATAAATATATGAGATTTTCGCACTTGTTCTGTATAATGAATAGGCCTAACTTGTTTCAATGAAACAATTCGTTTTGGTCAACTGGAAATATGCACTAAGTAAAAAATGTTATTTAAAAACAAAATAAAGTCACAATCTGAAACAAATAAAAAATGGCGGGAAAAATGAGGAAGAAAAAAAAGCAGCTTTTGGAGGTTCTCTCTCTTACAACCCCCTTTTGCTTTAACAACAATATAAAACGAAGCCATTTTGAAGTTTCGTTATTGGATACAAATAAAAACGTTGCAAGTTTTTCATTATCCTTTATAATATAAACAACACTTTCTTCACGGGCTAAATCCAAAACACAGTCTCTCTGTTATTCGTCTTTGAAAAATGGCTTCCCCTAACGAAAACGACGACTTTCCCATTCTTCTAATTCCAGAAACACCACCATCTCGTGCTCGAGCTTTCACTTCCATTAATCGTAGCGTCCCTCTTGAATCCCACTTTAGGCTACACGGGTCCTCTTGGAACGCAGAGAAGACGACCTCCATTACTGCAAATGAGTGGTCCTCTTTGCTCTGCTCGTAGACCTGATCAATCTTTCTTCCCTCCTCCTCCTAATCGAGCTCCTGATTCCTCCTTTACCGTTGATGTTCCATCTGAAGATGTTGTCGTCTCGAGAAACACAAATCTCTTGAGATCTGGACAATTAGGGATGTGTAATGATCCTTACTGTTCTACTTGTCCTTCTTATTACAACCGCTAAGCTGTTCAATTCCACACTTCCAGAGTTTCTGCTTCTAGGGTAAGTGGGTAACTCTGTTTCCGAGCTTTAATTAGGTTTAAGAATCTCAAACACAAATTAAAAATGTTACCTTTTTTTTCCGGTCTTTTTTCAGTTCCCCACTGCTCTGTATGATGATGCTAGAGGTTGGGCTAAGGGATTTGCCTCCTTTGTTCGTAGATGTGTACCGGGATCATGAATCCACATTCTAAATTCGTTCAAGTCTGGACTAGAATCTTAGCCATTTCAAGCTTATGACTTACCACTGCAGGAAGAAAAATGCATTGAGGTTGATTTGCCTATGACTAAAGCATTGGTGTCTCTTAGAAGTATATGGGACCTTATATTCTCCATTAACATTCTGCTTCAGGTGTGTCTCCTTTGCTCTCATCTCCTAGTTAAGGAGATTTTTATTGGCTTTTAATATGCTTCTTGTGTCATAATTTGTTGCAGTTTCGGTTGGCCTATGTAGCTCCTGAGTCTAGGATAGTTGGTGCAGGCCAGTTAGTTGATCAGCCTGGAAAAATTGCTCGCAATTACATCCGAGGAAAGTTTTGCCTTGACCTATTCATAGTGTTACCCATTCCACAGGTATTGTAGTACTAACCCTTTAAATGTTTTTGAGTGATGTTAACTCAAAGATGTTTGTTTTACCATTGATATCTCCTTTGTTTTCAGTTAGTGATATTATGGTTACTACGATCGGAGTTAGGCCTGCCCATTCCAGAATCTGACAAACACATTATACGCGCGATACTTCTTTTTCAATACATTCCAAAGTTATATAGACTTCTTCCACTTCTAGCGACCGGCTTCATATTTGAGTCAGCTTGGGCTAATTTTGTTATTAATCTTCTCACCTTCATGCTTGCTGGTCATACTGTTGGCTCTTGCTGGTATGTTTCAGGATTTCAGGTACATATATATAAGTCAGTTTCTTAAAAACTTTATTCATGTTTTCACTATTTCGAGTGATTCTTCTCATCGCCTGCTTTCCCCTTATTTTTGCCCTTTTCAGAGAGTTCAAAAATGCTTGGAATAATTCTTTGGAAGAACCTATAAATATTGTTGATTGTGTTGGTGGAATCTATGAATTGGAGTCACTACGACCTCTGTGGAGAGAGAGTGCCAGTGTCAATGCTTGTTTTCAAGAGAATGGTTTTACTTATGGGATCTATTTGAAGGCAGTCAATCTTACCACTCAATCTAGTTTCTTCACAAGATACAGTTACTCTCTGTTTTGGGGATTCCAGGTAAATTAGGCTGATTAATGTTAAAAAACTATTATTCTTCAAATCACTCTTAAGTAACTAATGTCAAGTTGTTTTCAATTCTGAAAGCAAATCAGCACGCTTGCTGGAAACCTATCTCCAAGTTACTCAGAATGGGAGGTGTATTTCACAATGGGTATCATTGGACTAGGGCTTTTGCTTTTTGCGCGGCTTATTGGTAATATGCACAACTTCCTTCAAGCTCTTGACCGAAGGTAAAACACTTTCGTTAATAATGTTTTAAAAGAGAGATGGTGCATTTCTTTACAAATTCACCAAGTTGAGAGGATGATTTTGTGCTTTTCCTGTTTAAGGAGGATGGAAATGATGCTGAGACGGCGTGATGCGGAGCAATGGATGAGCCATAGATTGTTGCCGGAAAACATAAGAAAGTCTTTGCACTCTGCCTCTTAAAATTTTGCTTCTCATATGAATTTTTGTCATACATTTGAATTCTCAGGCTAAGTAATGGGACTATAGAACTAACTCAGTAGTTGTTCAACATTTTTCAGGAGGGTGCGAGAGGCAGAGCGGTTCAATTGGGCTGCGACTAGAGGAGCTAACGAGGAATTGCTTTTTGAGAATATGCCTGAAGATCTTCAGAGAGATATAAAACGCCACCTCTTCAAATTTCTCAAGAAGGTAATAAGCATCAACACAATGATTGAAAACATTGCATTAAATCAGAAACCATTTCTTCAATGTACTTTCCAAAGAGATAGCTCTATAGATAGTGGTCGTAGATTGACCATTGCTGAAACTCAGCCGTAATATCTTGAAATGTTATTATCTTTTTAGGTGAGAATATTTTCGTTGATGGATGAATCAATCTTAGATTCAATCCGCGAGAGGCTCAAACAGAGGACTTACATAAGGAGTAGGAGGTCTAATTGAAAAAATGGTATTCATAGTGAGAGGTGAGATGGAGAGCATTGGAGAAGACGGTTCTGTTCTTCCTTTATCAGAAGGTGACGTGTGTGGTGAAGAACTTCTAACTTGGTGCCTCGACCCTCGAACGCTCTTCAATAAACCCCGGTACGGCCATTTTACTAATAGCTTTGACTCTACCTATTCGTTTGTAACTCTCAACGTTTTGGGTTAAGAACTTGAAACAGAACGTTTTGGAAATTGAATATGCTTTGAAACCGGCAGATGGGACGAGGAGAAAGATGCCGCAAAAGGGACTGGTTAGCAACAGAAATGTTAGGTGTGTGACAAACGTGGAGGCATTTTCGTTGAGTGTAGCAGATCTTGAAGACGTTGTTGGAACCAATTTTTATTAAAATCAAATGGGCTTGTTATAGACAT